CCCCCTCAGGTCGAAGGCAAAGAGGCCATTCAGGTGGACAAATAATTTTTATTCGTGCATGCAAATACATGTCAATACTGCAAACTTCTTCCACCGAGTCTCTCAAACACCGAAACCAGGCTGCTCTACGCCGCGACCAGCCACAGCTAACACCTCTTCACTTCAGTGCTACGGCAACACAGGGGGCCCCGCGCCGCGCGGGGCCCCTACGTCTAACACCAAGGGAAACGCTACCACCGGCAACTCGAAACCGAAATAAACGGAATAGAATTTACTCCCCCATTTTTCCCCATTTCATTTTACAGATTTTTTTTTTTAAATTATAGTTTTAAATAGAAGCTGAGAATGCGCCATAAAAATGAGCATTAAATCCATCGTAGCGATGGTGCCTGCTTTATACATGATGGGTGTACACCATCTTTTATTTCATTTACATTTCAATCGAACAATAGATTTGCAAAGAAAATGTCTAATACAGACGTAAAAATATTCACACTAGAGCTTCACAATCGGTTGTACAATTGACAAACAGGCCTCTTTTCCCAAACTTTCCAGCTAAGCAAATTTATAAAATGTAATCATCGCAACAAGAAAAAAAAAATTTTTCTTTAAAACTTCCAGGGAAAAGAATACGCAGTAAACAGTATAAATGCGGACAGCAGATGCTGCAAGCTAACCACAATACTTCTGAGTGGCTGTACAGTGGGTATGTGCAGTACAAATAAAAGCCACGTGTGTTGTATCACAACTACCGTATAATGTACTTGTTTGCCCAGCTAAGAAAACGCATGCATTTCCATGCCTTGGAGTAACTGAGACCTACTCTGGATAAACTGATGGGCTATGTGCAAGTGACCTTGGCTTTTGGCAGTAATAAATGCAGCCAGGCTCTGTTTCATTTCAGCTTTTACAGCGAAATCTTGAGTGAGAAAAGTTTCCACAAGCGTCCTTCCCAAATAACAGGGTGTGGTGTTACGTTCGGGTATTGGTCACTGTGATGATTCAGATTTGTTTCATCTCATCGCTAACAGCTTTGGGTTTTTCTTCCTTGCCGTGCTCCCTTGCCAGCAAAGAGATACACGATGATGACTGCTACCAAAGTCAGCTGGTTTTATACTGGAAAATTGGGTCATTCAAAAAAGCACATTTATTGTGTTCTGCTTGCAGAAGAGGTCCCTCGGTGAGAGGGAATTTCTGAATCAAGGGATTAAACTACAACATAACGAATGGACTTTTACATACTATAGATACTCCGATCATTTCTCATCTTGTTACACTCTCAAATTCAACATCTTCCTTTAATAACAGTCTAATAATAATGAAAAGTCTGTTCACAAATATGATCAAGGAGCTGCTGGCATACAGTGTTTATGTACAGCAACAGGTACGACTTGACAACTTGTGCTTTAAAAAAAGCAAACAAAACCAATGTTTGGAACTATTCTGAGTTTAGATCAAGTTATTTTTAAGCGTTCTTTCCTCAGCCGTTTCTGACCACTCTGCATTATTTTGTACCTCATCCAGCCTAGTACACTATTACACAAGAACAGCATTCAGCTCTTGAGTACAGGATTAATTAAAACTTCAATTGTGTTATCAAAGCACTAAAGCCTTCCAAATTAGACCTCTACAAAGAGCAATTAAGAGCTTATTTAACATGATCAGCTGCGTACAACTTTTTCTTTTCCTAAATCAAAGGTCAAACTTTCGTGTCCCTGTACTAGACTACCAAGAACCAACGCCAGTTTGCTTTGCAAAGAGTCTCACCTTTCCTTTGAAGGGTCTAGTATACATTCCACAATGCAAAATCTGCATAAACACTAAGATTCATTTCTTGTCACCTGTTTACAGGAACAAAATATCAGTAGCAGGGCAATCACTCTGCTAGAAGTATATGTTAAGAATGTACAGCTAATTACTTTCTCACACAAGCACTCTCCCAGCGCACGCGTTAGTCTCTATTAAGACCTATGTGGGAAATGAGGCAAACCAAGGAATGAATCCAGGTAGTGAGGCAACACAGTTAACTTAGATACTAATAATTCCTGTATCTCTTGCATGTGAAATCCCTGCTGTACCCCTAGTGGGGAAAAAAAACCCAAAACAAACCAAAGCAACCCAAAATGCTTGTCCAAGCAAAGCAAAAGAGCCAATCTCTTTCCCCAATGTGCTACGGGCCTTTTTTCTGACAGCACAGGTACGTCAGGCCACGACCTACGTGGGAATCACTGCTATTAACACACAAAGATTAGTCGCTATATCTCAGGGTCAGAAAATAAGCCCTTCCATAGCCCAAAGGCACCTGATTTGCAACTAGACAAATGAATACATACTTGTTTGTACAGGGTCAAGGACTGAAGCTTCACCAAAGAAGAAAGCCAGAACTAGGTTCCCACCTGCAGCTTCTCCTTATCAGGGCACTGGAGGGCATAGTTTCATGGCAAAAACCACACAGTCGGCGTTAAAACTGTAAGACAAAGCTGTCATGCTGTTAAAACCCCCAAATAATTCTATTGCCTGCCATTCTATATATTAAAAATTCAACTAAAAAGAAAACCCTAGCCTCAGCTAAGAACCAACTTTCCATATGAAGCGTACGGTCGTCCTAGAGAACTGCTGTATCATGGGACCTCCTGCTGCAGACAAGAGCATATAGATCCATTTGTTCTTAAATATACCAATGTGGTTGGCAGGAATATGTTCGGCTTATGTCATTTCACTGGACAAACAGGCAAATGTGTGTAAGCAGCTCATCCCAATCCCCCTCCAGCAGAGCACAACCAAGTTTTTAAAATTGCAATTTTAAAATTAAAAAGTTAAGGTAGATACACAATCAATTTATGTAGTATATATTCACCCTCAGATCATGCTGAAGATGTTCTGTGGAGTTCTGGTGCACAGAGGGATCTTTCCCGGAGGGCAAATAAGGACTTCTCAAACCTTTATATTTTCTCTATTTTTTTAACAAAATAGCAATTTAAAATTTAAAAATCTTTTAAAAAAATTACATCACCTTCAACATGGAAGATCTCACTGTTTAAATATCCATGAAAGAGACATACTTGTTTGCATATCTGTTTTGGAATTACATTGTACAGCAAATAATAGTATCTCAGAAGCATTTCAAAAGTAATATAAATTCATATTTACAGAATGGTCTTGGTATAAAATATACAACAAACATATTTATGTCTAACATTCTAAGTTAAAGTTAACATCAATAGGAAATAAGTTAAGGTGACAAAGGTGGTCTGGTTCTTGTATCCATTCACTTCAAGTTGCAAGTGAAACAAAGCATCAGTCTAACCCTAGCTATGAGGTGGCACCGGCTATAGGAGGTACAGCAACAGCCACAGGAAAGGAAGAGGAGACTACTTGACTGTTTTTCTACATACATTCCTTTACATTTGAGTATTAAATAGATGTGTAAGATCTTCCATACTGACACCAGGATATCAAAACTAACCCTTGGATTTTTAGGTATATTTACAACATAATTATTTCATGGACAGGTTCATTAGGAGAGATATCAAACACCAATATTTACTTAGTCTAATCAGTAACCCTCAGGGAAATGCCAACCCCCACCCCCCAGAAGCGTGCACAAAACAGTTATCAAAATCTTACCCGACCACATAGCTGTGATTTTGTAAAATAACAACTCAGACGACCAGTAACATGATCCTCTTTAAGCATTTTGCTAGCAGGAAAAGCCCTTACATGCAGTACACCTGGTGAAAGATCAGCTTGGCTTAAAATATTCCAGTACAATTTCCGATTAAACAACTTCACAGAAGTTAATAAAAACATAAAAAAATGTAAAACTTGTCACAAAGAAAAGAGGACAAACAAGAAGACAGTAATCATCAGGAGGGAGAGTCCTGCTTTCTTTTTTGTAAAAAAAAGTGGATTTTTAAGCTTCTCAAAAAAAATATGCCCAGGACTCTAGTTCATGTGTATTTATGAAAGAAAACCAATTTTTAGTTGACATGCCTAATATGATTCTCAGTCACATCTTAACAGGGCATAAATTCATTCACTTTTCAGTACTCTGAAGGTCAGATAATGCTATATTATTGTATTTTCAAGGTCTTTGAAAATAAGTTGCCACTGAACAAGCAAAAATTAAACCTGAATACAAAATTACGATTAACAACATTTAACAAAGACAACCGCCTTAAATTTCCAATATTTAGTTTAAATTACAAACAAAAAGGTACAAAAAAACAGCAATACCATCTTGTTAGTCAGTGCAAACACTACATACAGGGTTTTCAAAGGAAAGCCAAGAGCACCTGATACTTTTTGCCAAGTCATCTGGATTCTATAATCTCCAACTTGAGAACTATTAATAAAAAAAAAGAAAAACCAAAATTGCCGTTACATTAGTGCATCATTGCTCAAAATGGTTGAAAATTGTTTCACGTATAACTTGGGGAAATCAATACCTAGTACATTAGCTGGAGGACTTAGGCACTTGGTTTACTTCTGATAACTTTACTTGGACAAGTAGCCTGTGTACGTGTATCTACGGTACTAAAGCAGAAATTGGGGGGGATGGGGGAATGGAAACCAAACGCTGCAGCAAAGCACTGCACCACAGACCTGCAAATAACGCAGCAGTGCAAAGCTAATGGTGTGCTAACCCTGTAAAAGTCTCAAGTCCAAATCTCCACCTCTCAGTCTTCAAACAGGAAACAATACTCCATGCAAAGTTCCACAACTAAAGAAAAAGCAGCCGCAACAAGACACAAGTTCTTCTCTCATGAAACAAAAGAGACAAATAAGTTAGTCTTCCTTTCACTAGATGTATCATCGTAGGATCCTGCTAGTTTAAATAACTGAGTTGTTAGTTTTCTACAGAGCCATTTTAAACAAGAATGGCTCAGATACCGCACCGGATTGCTACAAACTCATAAAAAGCTGCTTTAAGCTTAAGTAAAACAATGTCCAAATTCCATTCATTTGTGGAAAGTGAACGCCTTACCCTAGTAAAGTAAGTTTTTTTTTTTCTTCAGAATGCTAATGCGAGAGGGGCTTGAAGTATCAAAGTGGGCAGAAGCTGGAAAGATGAATGCCTTTCAGCTGTTAACCATCCTGCCATTTGCAACAGGCTTTAAAAAGTCATTTTTATCCTCAGACATAATGTGAGCAGTTTTCAAAATGAGGCTGCCAACACTGACTGACGTGCTGATGGGCAGGCAGCTTGCCTTGCTAACAGATGTTGTGATCGGCTGACTGAAGCAAGTAGTTACGGGCAGGATTGTTTTCTGCTCCTCCCTGAGGAGAAAAATAAGTTACACAAATATTAAACAAGTACATGCACAAGTATCCGGAACTGAATCGTGTGCATTAAATAAATACTGACAAACTCCTTTTTAGCAACAGGCTAAACATCTTACTATGGAACGGTACGTTCAAGATGTTAAATGCAGTCTGCCTCGGCTTCAAAGGCTGCATTACACATTAAAGACTACAGAACATATAAACCTAAAATAGTGTATTTTAAAAACTACCTCTCTATGGAGATTTGTGCAAACGGTATGACATTTAACCTTTTGAAGTTTTTCTTAATTTCTGTTAACTACAAAAATACTTTTGCATTGCTTGCTTACTGAATGTGAAAGGTATTTAACAGCTGTGACAGGTTTCAGTATATATGTTACAATAATGCATACAAACAAAGGTACCATCTTGTGACTTTCAGATTTGTGACCTAATTCTATTTTTTTAACAGGTTCTTCTCACTTCGTGTACACACAATGCAGATGTGTAATCCAAGTCTGAGTAGGTACGTAGTTCATCCTTAAACAACCATGCTTCAACTATTCTGACGCTGCTGTTTGTCTAATACTGGCAGACACTGCTGTTTTGTCTAACACTCACAGAATCACAAGGTCTTCACCTAAGCTTTGTCTCTTCTGTTCCATAGATTCTTTCTGGTGCTGCTTTAGTGGATGCCCATTCTCTACAGTAGTTCCATTGAGCAGCTGATCATCTTGAGAACTAATACCTAGCTGTATATCCAGAATCTCCTACAGGAGAAAAGGAGAAATGTCCATCAATACTGTTGCTACCAGCTCTAAATTCTCCTATTATGTTCCACTACACAAAGCTGAGGGAAGTGGGAGTCTCATCATAAGGCTCCCTACTTTTATTTATTTCATACTGTTGGAATGTCTCCACATTTTACTATAGGAAAAAGAAAAAAAAACTATTCAAATATGGCAGTGAATGACAACAGTAGCATAAACATCAGCTGCTAAAATATTGTTTATCAGGTGAGATACAAAGGAGGCAATGAAGGCAGTGAGAACCATTTCAATAATTAAGGACAGGAAAGGCTAAATATAAAGGTCCTTCCATCCATGTAATGGCGATTCACAGTTCGTACTACAGCACTGCATCACATGCCACAGGCAGAGCAAACAAAAGCTGCAGCCAGTACTGTAAGTCAGTATTGGAATGCATTCCACATAAGAACCTTAATTTTTTTGAAGTGTACAATGCTTTAAAAAAAGGACAATCGATCCTAGTGCTTGGAATGAACACCAGAATGTTTTATGACTGCACAGAAAAGGAGGAAATGGCATAGAAGAAACTGGGGCAGATGCACAGAATTACAAATAAAGAATGAAGTTTTGTGAAAACAAAAGAACACTAGCTTACAATCTTAAATGACTTTATTATTAGAATCAGGTAAGCACAAAGTTTAAATTAAATGATTACATTTAAACATAAACTTCAACATCAAACATTAACTACAGTTTCAACACTGGAGGGGAAGGGGAAAGGAATGGACTCACCACCATTACTAACGCTATCAAAAGATAAAGAGCAAAAAGCTGAAAGCTACAACAAAGAGCACAGTGAGCTGTTTTTTAACGTTGGTAATACTAACGGCCAGGTATCTGAACGAGAAGTATGAGACCCCTAGTGTTAAAATACAGCAAATGTTTGATATCACTACAAAGACTACAACCAGAAGGCTTTGCTATCAACATAGTCTACTATTTCACAAAGAAATTTCAAAAGTTTTTAATAACTAATGAGAGGACTCAGTGACCTCCATAGACACACAGATTTTTGTACTTACTTCTATTTGTTCTCCTTGCCCATCAGGTTCATCTGTATCAAGGGCTGACAGCTCCAATTCAATGTCCCGATCTGGCTTTGTGTCTGCACAGTCTTCAGTATAATCAGTCTAAAAAATAATTAATACATTCTGTAAATATCAAGTTGGCTTTTCAGCTGCTTCACACAACACACATATTAAAGCGAAAACAGAAGATCCATTTCTAGGACACAACACTTCTACAATACAAAACAGCTAGTTAAGACACAAACAGAACTTCGGGCATGGACGACATAGAATACAAAGCTGAATCTAATCACATTAAAAGTACCGAAACAGAGAGATAAAATGAATACTGAAGTAGGAATTTCTGTAGAGTCCATGTACAACATGGACAAGTAGAACAAAAAGTAATGATTGCATGAAAACGGATTGTGACATTCTTCCCACTTCGTAAATGGATGACTGGAGCAGCAGCATATCAGGCGCACCTACTTGACCTCAGGGAAATAACTGGGTGCAACACCAGTGACTTAACTTGCACAGAATATAAATATTTGGGAAAGTTAAGAGTTTTAACTCTTAGTTAAAATGCATACACTTATGTATATACAAAAAAAATCCAAGACTTGTTTCATCCCAATTACCCCTTTCTTTACCTCACCATTCCTCAAATCAATTTCCTTGCTTAAAAGATTTAAGGTGAGACGACTGCCTTCATCTAGAGAATTCCACTTCTGTTGCATGGCTAGTGCATTTGCCTCTCTCTGAAGTAGTAACGAGTTACTTTTGGCCTATGGAAAGAAACATACCAGTTACAACAACTACACTTAAACCATGTATTGTCAAACGGCAAAATAAACCAGCTCACAAAAAGAACAGTTCTCTTGCTAGATGGGTAACTTCTTTTAATGCATTAATTTTGTTCCACATTTGCTGACACTTATCAGGACCACCACTTTATCCCAAATTAGGTCTTACTGATGTCAATGGAACAGCTCATAGTAGCAGTCCTTATGCATCATACTAGGTGCTGCAGGACTAGCATCTAAACAACACTTATCAATCATTTTGTCAATTGTACTATCTTCTGTAGGCTCCACTAAGAAAAATTATTTAAAATCACTTTATTAAATGACTTTTTGTTTAATTAGAAAGCCCATATGGCATAACATCTGATCTTACCTGCTGTAATTCAATACTCAACAGATCTCCAGTGCTGGAATGCTTTCTGTGACCAGACAAATCTGTAACTACAAACCTGTCCCTTCAAGAGAAAGAAGGCAAAACCAGGAATTAAAACAAGTTCTCTAAATCAAAGGCACCATAAACTTCATTAATCTATCCACTATGTGACTAAGATAATACACTCTTCGTCTTCACTGGGGCTTACAACACCTCAAGGCATTCTATGAAGCAAACATCCTTATTTTACATATGGGTAAGACGTGGCAAGAAAACTTGAGAGAAACTACTCACGATCGCAGATTTTGACATGACAGCCTGGCAGTACCTGACTCCAGTTCTTTGATTAGGTCTCTCAAGGGATATGTTGCTAGTAATTGAGTATTATTAGCTGCATTAAATACTAAAACTACACAAGTTTTAACCTAGTTTTTCCAAGGCTTTATGCTGAACAGGAAAAAATCCTTTACTTTACAATTGAGAACGTCTATTAATAGTTCCAGATTTTCTTTCCCCCTCCATGTTCAGGATTCTGAAGAACAGCAAGCTATAGAACATACTTTTAACAGAACATAGAAAAAAGTTTCATACCGTTCCACATAACGTGCTGATGAAGTAGAATCTGAGCCATAGGCACTCCATCTTGAGTCAACAGCATTGACATAAGGGACATAATCTGTAACAAATTAAGATAGCATTCATCATCTTCTCTGTTCTTAAAGGGGGATGTACAGGTATTTTAGCTCTTTGCATCTTCATTGCTCTAGTAAGCATGAACAGGATGAAATGCTCATGATGTATGCCATATCGTCATACGAAGCCTGTACTTGTACCTGATACACTGATGGGCTTAGTAGCACTTCCTTGGGAAGCAGTGGCCTGAATAGGATCTGTCGTGTGATAACCCGTGCGGGATGACCTGGAGATTGCACCCCACTTGGAGATGATCGGTCCATCGCTAAATGGGATTATAGGATCTTCTTCCTTGGCCCTTCTCTGAGCTTCAAATAAATTCACTCTCCTTTTAACATCCCCGCTGTCCAAATCCTACATATTTAGGAGACAGAAGATACTTGGACTCATTTGAGGTTATTCAGATTCTTCAGCTGGCCAATAACTTTCTGATTATTGTTGCTGAATACAATGCTGAAAATCTGTCCAACTAGAGCACCAAGATGGGCCTCGGTACTTCAACTATTGCCCTTTAACGGCAAACTGACCACGAGAAAGCTATTGCTGGAGCTAGAAGAAATAATTTTGCTTTTCCAAGTTTGTGTTTCCAGGCAGAGAAAGTTCCAGTATGCTTTAGAATCCTTCTGTACCCTTTCCTATACTTGAAGGAGGCAGTATCAAAGCAGGCTTTGGATGAAATTTAGTTACACTTGTTTCATAAGAACATAAAGGTAACCTGCTACCCTATATAGCAGAAAGTCTCCAAAAAGCGTGAGCTCTTACCCCTCCAGAGGTAAGCTGTATTCCATGATTCATACTATGCATTTTTTATTCCCCAAAGTCTTTCAGTTAGCTTTTTTTCCTCTCATGGAAATCAGGTGATAAAAATAAGTTGTATTTCATTTTCATTTTCACAGATTTGTTGGCCTTAAACTGTTTCAGAGGAAAATGCACCTTCCAACCAAGTAAGAGGTATAGTCTAGGAAAATAGTCTATACAGATTCTCTGTGGGTACAAAGCAGGTAAGATTAAGGTCATGCTGATTATCCTCAGTCCCCAGTATTTCAACTTTTCTCTGTGAGTGTATATTGCTCTTGGGATTAACTTCCAAGTAAAGATTTTCTGAAACAATGGCAACATAACAAATCTTAGAATCCTGAAAAGGCGAGTGATTCATTAACATGGGATGGACTATTGCACTTAAGCCAAAGAGGAAATGTGTTTCTGCAATGGAAACGCCTGCTCTGAACTGGCCACAATGACCCCGTATTAACCAGTCAAGCCGGCCACTGCAATGTATTCTGAGACTATTTTTAGATGCCTCAAATTATAAGGATGTAGCTGTACACAAACATTTATATAAAAAAACTCTGAAGAGAGACAAAAAAAAGGCAAAAATTTTTATCCCACTAATAATCAAAGAACACATTTCAAATTAATTTATTCTTATCAGTTTACAGACCATCTACTCAAAGTATTTTGGCTACAAGTTTGATTTACAGAGATCTTATTAAATTTGTTGTTTCAGACATCTGAGAATTTTATTCATGGCACTGCACTCTGTCACTGAAGTAAATACATTGTTTATTTACAAAACTGGGAAAAGATATTCCAAACAACTTTTAATGGGCAGAACTACTTTAAAACACTAAGAATAGAAGCTATCAACTTAAAAAAAAGGCTTGTTTAACCAAACATAAGACACTTCAGCATGTAAGTATCATTGCTCTAATGAGATAACATGCAGAAAAACCCTACCATTAACACGGCATTTGAATTGGCAATCACATCCTTGGGCTCTGAGTCGATAGCATTTATACAAGAGCCAATAGTGCCACAAGACCACGGTGAATAGTGAGAGAGATGGTCTTCCTCAAATTTAGTTCCACTCAAATCACTGACACTCTCTGAGAACTACGGAAAAGGGAATAAATAAGCAGTGAATAATAAAAACAGGGAATTCAGTCTTAGAAGAAGAAAAGACATTTATTGCCATTTTAACTAAATCATCTCAAAAGTCAGTCTAGGAGTTCTAGTCATATTCAAGACTTGACTCGGGGACAACATAACCCCTCTGGCAAATTTTAAATCAGTGCAGCTGAGAGCTGTCAACGAAGGGCAAGCTTTGCCACTACAAATAACTGCCTGGTCTGCCAAGATGAGAGACTGACATCAGCGTCACTACATTAGCGGCAAGTTTCTTCAGGCAAATACCTACAGTAATTAAACCGAGAGGAAGCCATGCATTTTCCTTTAATGTATAAGCCAGTGGCAGATGTAAGTATGACTTAGAACCCTCCAACCTGGATGAAAAGGACTAAATTCTGATCTACCCTGAATATACCCCTAAGGGACTTCAGGTACACCTACCTTACAAGACTTTCTGAATAATCAGAGCCTAACACCTCAAACATCATCAACGGAACTGTCAAACCACAGCAAAGAGTGCTTGGCACAGTGGTTCTCTTGGACGCATTTAACTTACACATACAGAAAGTAAGCATCACAAGATTTTCTTTTTCTTCAAAAGCACACTATTCCTATTTGTTGAGTTTCCATTCTTCTTTACAGAACTTAATCACACACGTACACAATGTTCTACCAATGCCTTTTGCACTTTTAAGGGACATGTATGCTCTGGGACTTGTCAAGCATTCACAGCTTGGTTCGGTCTGCTCATCATGTCATAATGCCATCTGGAGTATAAAAGGGAAGGTCCTCCTTGACAGAAAGGAACTGTAGTGCCCTACACAAAAACCTGGAAGGTTCACAAAGATAGTTCAATAAAATTACATCTCCTTTAGTGAGGGCAAATCAAATCACTTCACTTCTGACTTTTTTTTAGCAATCATGTTTAGCATCACCTTAATATCAAATTGAATGCCTTCATTATTAGGTATTACTTTTCCTTTGGTAGAAGATTGAATTAATTTTATGAACAATAGATGGCAGGTAGAAAATCTTTACTAGAAATATTAAATGGCATGTTACAGAAACAGCAAGGGAAAATGAAGAAATTCTTTGGCTTCCCACCTCTGTGCTGAAATCTACACTGAAGAGAGGAGAAGGTGGTGTTGGAGATGGTGTTGCCATAGGAAGGGTTGATGATACCAGAGGAGTCTTCTGCGTGTGGTACTGTGCCCATTGCTCCGGCTTCCGTCTTAACTGCTCATCATAACCAGTCTTCAAATGACCACAAGGCTCCTAGCAATAATAAATGCAGGACTGTATATCCTATCATACTCTAACCAGAAGGTCAATACTTGCAGGGGACACACTTGGACCCCCAAATTCCCTGGGGTCTGTAACCTTCCATTGATATTACTAGAAGAATTTCGGAAGGATATGGGGAAGAACCTGTCCCATGTATGGCAATTCATACCATAATTTAAGCAACATGCACAGGAATTGGTGAGATCCCCCTGGGAGTCCTGCATCCACCTCCGGGATCCTCAGCACAGGACAGAGCTGGAGCTGTGGGAGCGGGGCCAGAGGAGGCCCCAGCAATGATACGAGGGCTGGAGCCCCTCTGCTGGGAGGAAAGGTTGGAAGAGCTGGGGCTGCTCAGCCTGGGGAAGGGAAGGCTCCGGGGAGACCTTACCACAGCCTTCCAGTACTTAAGGGGGGCTTGTAGGAAAGATAGGGACAGGCTTTTTAGCAGGGCTTGTAGCAACAGGACAAGGGGTGATGGTTTTAAACTAGAAGAGGGGAGATTTAGACTGGATATAAGGAAGAAATTTTTCACAGTGAGGGCAGTGAAACCCTGGCACAGGTTGCCCAGACAGGTGGGAGACGCCCCATCCCTGGAAACATTACAGGCCAGGTTAGATGGGGCTCTGAGGGACCTGGTCTAGTGGAAGGTGTCCCTGCCCATGGTAGGAGGGAGGAACGAGATCATCTTTAAAGGTCCCTTCCAACCCAAACCATTCTATGATTCTATAAATTAAAGGGGCAGAGGGACTCTGGTCCTAATCCAGATTAGCGGTCTATTTTACAAGTCTATTTTATTGAGGTTAAAAATAAAACAGAAGAGGTCTGTGTTAATTATTTACCAGCTTTTCAGTAATGACCTTTAGAACCAAGACTCCATCTTTCACTTTCCGGCTCTCACTTACCCTTGGTAAAGGCACAGTCCTCTGTTCATTTGGAGGTTGACAAGCCACAGAGTAATATCCATCCAAAGAGTTGTATCTCTCACGTAACGATGTCTGATAGACAGATGAGTGCATCACATCCATGGGAGGTAAAGAATTGCTCCTAATAATATCATCTCGTGGGTACATCTGTGGGCGCCAGATGCGCCTGCTGTCATAAACTGGAGCATACATTCCAGAAGGGACAGGAGGAACTGGTCCATACGGCTGCGGAGGAGGAGGTTGGTAAGGAGAATTCAGTCGATCTCGAGGGGGAAATGTACTGTAATGATCGGCATATGGCACGGAAGCAGGTGGGAGGGAGGATTCTGGAACGTTATTGGACCTCACAAAGCGAGGAACACAGGGAGCCACACCAGCTGGTACTGTTGGAGGTGGTGGATAATATCCTTAAAAATTGGAAAAAGGCATATTTAATGTAACCACAAATGACCCAGAATTTTACACCTTCTAAAATTGTAAAAAGTGTTGGTAAGTACCTTTAGAGAATGAAGAGTCACACTTTACAAACCTGTTACTGACTCTATCATTTTTCTGTGTATTATAATTTCATGTACAACAACCGTATTTGCAGATGCAGTGCTGACTCTTTACCACCTTGACCCAGTTTGGAAAACAGGAGTTTCTCTGCCATTGCTCCTATGTACTATAGTATAACCATGTAACCGGACAGACAAGCATCCTACATACTTCTTCACATAGGAAGTTAAAATAGTTATCTCTAAAATAAAAAGCTACATTGCTAAAAAAATAGTAATTCCAAAGGTCCATAAGTAACCATTTCACGCTTGGCTTACTCTTTTTTCTTTGGAGAGGACTGTCTGAACACTTCTACCTTTTGTTTTGAGAGCTTGTGAATGACCTGATGCTAGAACACCTAATAGTTTGCTTGAATATTAACACGCACACTGCAACCTAAAAAGATGACTGACGCCTTTCAAAAACATTTGAGCAAGCACAAAGATGCAGAAGTCTCCCAGCAGAAGCACACTGTGCTGCTGGGTCTGAATCCTGTCTATGGATACCCTCCTGTATACGGCACATGGTGAGTAAGCCTAAATAAATGCATTTCAGTGCTAACAAAGGAAAAAGTAGATGAAAGACCTTGAGGTTCAAGTTATTCTGGATGCTGAGGTCCAAGCCACACAACATACAGCACAGCACACAAAGACAAGAACCACCAACACTGGTAGTGAACTACAGGCCTCCCCCATACTCCGCAACGGACCAGATTAGTATTCCACTAAATGAAGATTTAGATGACTTAAAAAAAAAAAATCCACAAAACTGAGATAAAACTTAGTTCTCAGCATGCCGGCTTATTTAGAGAAAAGTTCAGAGCTGCTTTTGATTCAGTGCTTATCTCACTCACCTGTCTGCGGGTACTGTGGAACTTCATACGACAGCTGAGTCCTGGGATCCTGGAAATACTGAACGTTATCAGAATGTGGAGGGTAGACAGGTACCCTGGGAACAAACGGGCTGGATTTTGGAGGCACAGAATTAACTTCTGTTCCAATATTAGGAGGACCAGCTGAGGTAGCTGCTGCCTGGCTTACGGGAGTCTTGGGTGGAGAACCGATTTTACTGAAAAGGATTACCAAGAAATCATTAAGCAGATCCTTACTTATTTCAGTTAGTCATCTCTCTGTGTACGCTCTTGTGTAATGTGGAATCTGAGCCATGTCATTTCCCCTGGAATATTATTTTTCATACCCAAAATTGATACTATTATAGCGTCTCAGACTTTCTCTTAAGATGAACTCAAAAGTGGATATAAACATTTTGGTATGTACCTAGAAGCTTCCATACCACTTGTAAGTGTATTCTGGTAAAGACAAAGGCTTTGAAGAGTTTAGAGGCTCAGTACTTTCTGGAGAAGTATCTGAAACATTTGAAGGGAAAACCCCAAACTAGAAGGTTTCCAGGATTATTAAGGGACCACACACTACATGCACCCTTCTTGGTTTCAGGCAATGTCAAATTTTGAGTGTAAATGTTTTGGGTTTTTTTTTAATGTAACAACCCAAAAGTAAGAAAGATACCAGGCTACGAACAACAAAATCAAAGGTAGAGATTTACCATTTTATCTATATTGCATGGGAGCATTCACCAGCTAAAACAACCAATGCTCGCTCTGACAACTTGAATCCACAGACTTGGTATAACGATGTACTGCAGTGCAGTACAAGATCTTACACAACTCTGCAGCCAGCAAGCACCAGCAACAACTGCAAGTCAGCACCAGAATTTAGTACCTATTGTTCGCCATCCACACGCTCCATGACAATCTGTTGTGCTTAGTTACCTTTATGAAAAAAAGTTACCTACTTTTCAGGTAGTGATTCTGTAGGGGATCCAGAAACATTCTGGCCATTGGCTCCAGTCTTCCCTCCCTTCTTGGAGTTCTCCAAAGCTCTCAAGGAGGTGTCCGCACAGCGAGGGATCAATTGGGGAACACCACTTTCTAGATTAGCTATTCCATTAGCACTTGGCACCATCTTCCCTGCTGCTTCAGGGCTTCCTATGACAGAAATTACGTTTCCTGTTGTGGTGGAGACGGTGCTATTTACACCAACTTTATTTAGCAGGGGGAACGTTCTCACTGTCGCACTAATTTTTTTGTTCCTCAAGCGGTATCTATAAACAAACACACATACAAACACATAAAAGATGTACGATTTTAAAAGTGCTTATTGTGCAGTTTAATGTACTTGTAAAGCTAGCAAAAGGAAAGGATTGAGAGGAACCTGATATCCAAACATTACAGGACTTTAAACTGGTACTTATTTTCAACAATCTGTAAATAGAACTTCAATGTCTTCCTTGTAACCAAACACCATCCCTCCTCTTAGAAGATCCACTTCTGAGTTCTTTGATAATGAGTTTGGGTGAAAACAGCTTCAAGAACATATACGTTACATATTATTTAGAAACTCACTTTATTCCTTAATCAAACCAAACGCAATCAACATTCTCTCTCCTGCAGGTGATATAACCAATCCCTGACAGACACTGAGCCCAGACTCAATTTCAGGAAAGGAAATTTTACTTCATATGGGGTAAAATAAAAAAAAAACCACCTGCAATTATTTTACAGCTATTGCTTTACCGTATTTTCAGTTTCATGTAAAGAGTTGTCACTTCAATAGATTCACAAATCCTTCTGAATGAATAAATGTACAGAATAAATTGTTTTCAAAATTCTATGGAGATTGTTTGGATTTAAAGAAACAAGTCCCCCACACTCACTTTTCAAGCTCTTCCTGAGAATGAGCAAATGTACAGTTTGTTCCTCTTGGACATCCCCCTTGCTGTCGAAGGTCTCTGCACATACTTGTTTTATATTTGCTGTTTGGTTGTGGCTTTAAAAAAAAACACCCAAACATAAGACATTCCACTTACCATCTCATACACTTTTACATAAAAATACGCTTAAAATACATACACAAACACACCCATCATATGCTTTCACATTCTGCATCTTTAATGAGAAAACTGAAGAAATTTATTATTGCTGGGCTAAGTACTATGCCATTGTATGGATCTCTCTACAGCAAGCTCTGCTGCATTCCATATTCAGAACTGTTAAGTTCTCAAAACCTGAATGCAGTAAATAACAGTATCATGAGTTATTCCATACAAAAGGCCATAAACATTTCAAATCAACAGTACTTTCTCAAAGTCGCATCTTTCAGTAAATGTACATTAAAACACATAACGCAACAATCAAATGTAGTTACCTGTGGAGTTTCATGGCCTTTTCTACTGTAATTCTGAATGAAATCCACAAGCCCATGTACCACAGTCTTTACAGCGACCATCGCATTTTCAAGCTGCTCCCATGTTGGAGACGCTGCATCTGAAATTATTAAAAACAGGCTTGTCATTCTGTCAGTGATTCCAGTCGTATCATAAATAAGAGGCAACTCTTCTAGTACTTCAAAACACCAAGTATAGGACAGAGCTCAGACAGTCCTGACAAAGAGTTTATGATATATTATGGTAATTAATGGGAATTCTGAAACCAAGAATGGAGGTTATCGTCTTAATAATTTACTTTGCTAGATACAAACAATACAAAAAATATCAAGAAATGTTTTAAAAGCTTGCTTTACATACCTGGATTTGGATCTATGTTTGCCAGCAGCTCTAAATGAGGCCTCAGCCTGTTTAAGTTTGCAGGATCCCCTGTGCGCTGCAAGACAATTGTCAATTCTTGTACACTCTTTGCAAAAGATTCTGGAGATTGGAGCTGAAAACAAAGTGAGTATTAGTGTGCTGCATCTTACAACTGTGAACTACTAATCTTCAAAATATTTTAATTAAACTGGTTCCTAAATGCAATACGTAGTGTCTTCAGATGGCATATAGAGAGTATCAGTGGAGAGAAATTTAATTTCTCAGCTCAGAATCTGCCCTATGAAGCTTCATCACAAGACACAAAAAAGGGAGTTAGATTAAAACTACTGGAAAACAACAGGTCTTCATATGAAGAATACACTACAATGGGGAGTAAACCTTCATTCCAGTTTTAACTAGTATTTTATATGACTAAGGACAAAGTTAACTCAAGTGGTTCTTGGATTTTTATTGTAACACTTAATGGTCAAATCTAATTCTACAAAGATACTAAAATCATCCTTTTGACGAACCTTGTCAATAATGGATTGCATGTGTGACTTATGTGCCAAGTCACCGTAAAGAAGGGAAGACCATTGTTCTGGCGATATTCGAAGTCCCGCTTCCATGGCAATGTGAACAATCTGAGCATCGTGCTCTCTCCGCAAAGCCTCGTAACTCCGAAACTCCTCTTTAAGTTGCATCAGAGAAGAATCTTCATCCCTTTTAGTGACCTAGTAGACAGTAATAGTTAAATACCCCTCCTCTAACAAAAAAAATCTCCCAAGTCCATCAGAAAAGGAGAGTTACACAGTACAAACCACAGAAGTATTGCTTTCGTATGTCTAGCACATACTTAATTTTCTTCCATGTGTTCAACCGCTTCGCTAGCGGTGCACAGGCAGAACAGCCAGCTCTTCAAGTTTTTACAGGATCACAGGTGCAAAACTATACCAACTCCACTACTTCCAACTAGGGAAGTAATCAGATTGGCTGACATCACAGCAGGTAGTTAGATATTGAGTGGTTCTGCCAGTATTTTTTCTATCCAACATTAAAGGATGACTTAAAGAAACAGGAAAGCATCTAGAAATAATTTAAATAATGCAAAGGAAAACAAGAAAAGATATTGGCATTTAAAAAACAGAATACTTAACCGAGAGCCCACTATAAATGTTAACTCTTAGGTTACGTAAGACATCTGCCATAAAGGAGCGTAATTCCAATGTTTAGTTCAGTGACGATGTAACAATCATGTTTTTAGCTGTGATTCACGAAGAAAAAAAGACCCATGGAACTAACTTTTCACTCTTCTCCAGATATAAAGAGTGGGAATATTCAGTTTAAACAACCCACCCCTATAGATCAAAAATAAAGGGGCTCTTCAGCGCAAGGTGGCTAGATACAGGCAAAAGAAAAAGGAGAGAGCGACAAATGTGTTGGAACACGACATCAGAGCTCAGGCCAACAGCACTCTGTGTATCGTGTGCCCCTCTCCTGCCCAGTGTGGAGCTAGGGAAGTTCCCAGGACTACAACACTCCAAGAGTTTTCTTTAGCATGCTGGGAATGGATTCTAATATTTGAGAGCACCCAGTCTGGCCACGGCCTACTCTCTAGAATCTAAATCAAGTCAAAAGTGTGTATTAAAACATTTCGCTTCTTCCTGAAGCAGGCTAGGAGTGCCTATGGAGTCACGTTTCACGCCTCTTTCAGGGAAGATAATTTCCAGATGATGGGCAGCAGTCAATAATGAGGGCAGTAATTTCAGAATCTATTCTGGCTAATTCCACATGTGACCATGTGTTCCTTTTGCAGGGAATTTTAAACACCAAACAACTACCTCATAACAGTTCTAGATAAAATTACATAGTCTACATTATTTAAATGCATATAAACTGAATTTATGTAACATTTTACAGGTGAAAGATAATCATCTAGGTCAGGTTCTCTGGAGCTGCACTAGATCATAGTAACAAATTTCAAATATTGCTATTTTACCTTAAAGCATGATGCTCTATACAGTAGCTGCACAACGTGACCAATGCTCGTTTTAGAGGCCTGAGGAAATCTTGGTTCTAGCCTTTGTACAACAAAAAGTACCAGAACTTTTCTCGAGAGTGCGGAGCCATCTTCCAGTGCCAGTAATACAAGTTTCAGTGCCTCCTCTTGCATAGCTTTAACACACACCACAAAAAGATAGGAAGTGAAATGTACTGCCAGAAAACAGCAAGGTTATCATATATTAACACCGTAAGTAGAAGCATGTGACTTCTTTTGAATATAATTCCTTATTACTTTTTATTTCACTAATAATAATAAAAATATTGGTTAACATTAAGAAAGTTGCCAGTTTAAAAGAGGTATTTAGAAGCACTCCAAGAACAGCAAACTTGAGAGCTAAGACTAATTTTCAGTAATAAACATATTAGCAGTACAGTTTTTATATTTTTCTCTACTGTGTGGTCTTGTAGCCTTTGTCATTTTGGACATCTCATCAATGCCACATGACAAAACTGCGTGAAGTAAATGCGGGAATAGTACAGCAATGCTATCATCAGTTATTGGAATCAAGAGAGGACTACTTCCAGTTTAAACTTATTTCTTCCTCATTTCTGTGCTTGCTTTAGCAACACTCTCAACTAAGAATTTGCTGTTTCTATCAAAGATATAAACAGGATCATTATAAATTTTAATTTTGAAGTATGCTGTAACTAAAGTTAGGCTAACTGTATTTACAGCTAAAGTACGAACACAAGAGCACGCGCAGTTTCCTATCCAATTCTAATTACAGGCAGCAGTACAACCAGCCTGTGCTCAGTTGCACTGCATTACAAACTGTGCAGAAACCAAGCTTATTTACTCTTCTTTGCCAGGAGTTTTAAAATACTTCCTCACAATTTTGAGGAACAGTTAGTAAGGGGAAGAAAAAAAAAACCCCACAACAAAACCAAAACTTTAAAAGAGCAAACTTTACTAACTTGTAGTCCTTTTATTTTTTTTTCCCTCCTTTCTCCCTGGAGAGAAAGTTCAAAGTTGAAAACCAGAAGTAATTACATCTTCAATCGCACGGAAGAAGTTTCCAAAGAACGCTTTTTTGTGTTAAGACAAGGTATAGCTAAATATACTTTATTGGAGATTCTAGAGGTACTTTACCTGGTCCTAGAAACTGGCATCCTCGTGCCCTGACAGCAGCCCAAAGATTGGCAGAAAGCTGCTGAGGATTTTGGTGCTGCAGGATCAGTTCTGTAACGGTTCTCTCTCCCAGCGATCGAGCCGCCCTCATGGCTCTAACCCGACCCTCTTCCTCCACCAGCTGACAGTTCACCAGCGTCACAAGCTTCCTTTGCATTGGACGGCTCAGTGCACTCTGATTCAAGCTTGCAACACCTTCAAAGAAAGCGAGAAAAGGCAAACTACTGCTTCTAACCAGAAAAGTCTACCTGAACAAGACAAAAAAAAAATGTCTAATAGTATGTGTCTTTCTCTAGGACTTGGATACTAGTCACAGGCACCTTCTCTTCGGCAACTCTGTGTAATTCATTACCAAAAGTAATTTTAAAAGGTTTAAATTGACATCAAACTCATCCTTTAAGGAAAGTTCTGCTTTAGTACAAAGTTAGCCCAAAGGAAATATTATTAAATAAAAAAGAATATTTTATAAACTTAAAATAATTTTCTAAAAAAATCAAGTGTCACCGGTATGAATAAGCTTTTAAAGACGTAAGGGAAAATTTATTACAAAAATGAGAGGATTAGCCCATCGATGCCTCCAATCAGTGCTGAAAACACAATGCTGTTCAATGCGAGTAACGTCAAAATTCCGTTGTTCAACAGACTCACCTTTTCCTCCACTTAATGGTTTTAAGTAGAGTGCCAAATCCTCAACACATTTCTTTGCTACTTCATAATGTTTGTTCTCTCCTACATTGCTCAACTTTACTGTCTGATGATCAGGTACCTACGAAAGTGCAAGGGGGAGGAGGGGGGAGAAGAATTATACACACCCGGCTGACCCATCGGATCTGCCTACGATGGCACCAACATCACTACTATTAATTACATAACACTGCAGATGTACACTGTTTTTTAGAGCAGTAAGAGACAATACCCACCCAAGGTATGCAGAATGTAATAAGGAGTAACAAAAAGGACTCAAGATGAGGATCAGGGCGATGAAAGATTATTTTTGTTAGTGCTCAACACATTAAGAACAAAAGTAGGATAGAAAACAATAGCCAAGGTCTAATTAGAAGGTACTTAAAAGATGAATGAAGAACACAGGATTTGAGAGGATGATCAGTGTACGAGATCAGCATGATTTACTACAGACAGACAAGGGAAGTTCTAAGACAAAATTAACTGTCAAGAAAATATGAAAAAAAATCAAATGGAAAGTTAAAAAATAATTGGAGCATAATTTGGGCATGCTGAAAACTTCAAAGAGAAAAACTAGCAAACAACTTGGTGGAAAAAAAACTAAAAGTAGAGTAACAAGGTCAGACACTGAAAATAGAAGGAGTATTAGTCACAATACATTCAATTGTTTGAAAGACATTTCAAGCAGTTAGGAGATCAGGAAAATGAATGTTGTGAGATCAAGGCAGTGATCTGACACAAACTTGTAAATACAAAAAAAAAAGTAAAAGGAACATGCGAACTTGAGAAACAAACCCACTTTGATAGAGTTATTACCAATAGCTGTGTCAAGGCATGTGATAAGACATTAAACAGCAAAGTAAAAAGCATCTTCGTACTGCATCACCCAGGTTTTGTAGCGAAAGTAATATGAAAAAGCATATGAATCAGCACAAGGTGAACAGACTTATTTAGTCTCCCATCAAGCGCAGTACTGATTATATAATCGCTATTTTGCCACTGCTACGAGACAGCACAGGAACATTCCTGGCCCGATTAGCCAGTGTCTGAAAACACAACTGAAAAGCCATCATCATGCATATTTAAAAAAAAATTATACACACACACTTTAGAAACTTGGTTAAACAGCTAGCTACTTTCGAACATGTGACATGTAGAAACATGATTCCTTGCAAGAATACGATGAACGAGTGCAATGTGCAGGTTCACTTTTCTAATGACAATTGTGACAGATAATTGTCTGTTTCCTAATGGGTATTTTTCTCCAGTCACAGTTCAAGAGCCTTTTAAACCAGAATTCCGCTTACAACTAGAACATGTTTTCATTTTCTGAGAAGAGGATGGTCCTGAAAATGGTGTGGCTGCTTTTAAAGCATGTATGGACTTCTAAACATTACAAAGTTAAAGCCTTACTGTTTTTGCAGACTAAAATGAGGAAAAAAGATCAGCACGCGTATTGCAACTGGCATGTAAATGGTAATAACACGAAGTGGCAAAACAAAGAGCTGCTTAAATCATACCTGGGCTCCAACTAACTGGAGGAGTGCAAAGTTTACAGGAAGCACATCGATGTCTGTATTGATGGCAGTCTGGTCGAAAGGACATGCCTTGCGATGAAGCTTGTTCAGGCAGGTCTTACAGACAGTGTGAGAGCAACCTAAGCTGATGGGTTTGTGCACATTCTCATCAAACTCGTTGTAGCAGATTGGGCAGGACAGAAATTCTGTCCACTGAGCTGCCTGCACAGGCATTGTGGAAGCTGGACACTTGTTTAGCAGGCTAGCAGACCATTATTTCACTGTACTATGTTTTGGCAGCTGTAAGTGAATAACAGAGTATTTAAAACATGCTTTCTGCTAATTTAGAATGATTTTTAATTAAAAAAAAAATCCCACCATTTCAATATTTCACAGAATAAAAACAAATTTTTATGTTGAAGTACTCAAAAAAACCAACTTTGTGTTAGTTTAATAATTGCACCCAAAAAGGCTCATGAACTGAATAAATGCAGACTACCACAAGTTAAAGTTGAATCTATTCACAATAAATGGCATTAAAGTTCTTCTCACAGGATTAAACACACCTTTAGCATAGCAAGACATTTATTGGCACAGAAAGCGTCAAGGCATGAATCACAGTAACCACCTCTCACACTATCTCATCTAACTTCAAGTCTTCAAAGCCCTGAAAGCACTCCCTGGTTGTTGAGTGGGCCTGGGGTGGGGAGAAGACACAGAATTTATTTTTTTTTTTTGTACAGGGGGATGGAGTTAAAATGTTATTTCTATTTGAAATGAAGTAGAACAATACCTTCCTTCTGCAACCTAATTCAGACTTCATCAGATACCAAACTAAATACAGTTTTGCTATTTTTTAAAAAAGACATTTTATTTCTGCAAAAGACAAATCAATTAACAGAAGTTAAGAATCATAAGAAAACACTAAAAGAATGAGAATTAGTTATTACTTTTATGATTCTCATGTTGCTTCCCCCTTTTCTCCCAAGAACCCACTGGAGCACTCAAGGGCAGAGATTGCTGTATTCAGTTTTGCTTTTCACATCTCTACCTTACACCAACAATGCAACTCCACTTCCACAAACTCACAGCGAGAAAACCTCTGATATGTTGAAAATCCAGGTATTTAGGACAAAATTTACAATCAAGCAAGCAATATGTTCAGTTGGTTTGCTCTTAAGTCTCTTCTCTTGAAGCATCTCACTCTGTGCTGTAGTACCATGCAAATCGTTTACGTAAGTGTATTCCAAAGAAAACACGGATTTATAGAAGTTAGTCTGAAAGACATCCCATCTTAAATAATTTACGTTCTCGGAAAAGATAACAGGCCAAAGAAGTTCACCGAAACTGTTTATATCCGAGCTTTCGTCATGAAGATTTCAATTCACAGCTTGATCCGAGAGCTGAACAGCCCCACCCTTTGCTGCAATGTGCAACGACGTTGACTTTCTATGCAACCTAGAGACCAGCCAGTTCCCTTCACGGCTATGGACAAGCTTCTCCTAGCAGCTGGTTAGAAATGCAAATACACAAATGTTTTAATTACATGTTTAGCATTATTTTTCTTCAATTATGGAAAAAAGGTAATTGTTTTGAGGAAGCTGAGATCCCCCCCACTGCATTTGAATCCAGTAACTTTACTGCAATTCCATTGTTGGCTGTGCTACAGTTTAATTAATGCTAAAGTATCAGACCATTGAAATAATTACTAGAACATCAAATAGACTCTATCTGTGGATGTATTTTATGTTAATTATGACCATCTGTTTAGAAATCCTATTTAGTACTATGAACATTCAGTGTCCTTTAAGTAACAGGATACTTGTACAAGATGTCCTTATCTCAGTGAGCTTTTCAATATTTTGCAGTGACTCTTCCCCCAGATGAATTCCCATAGTAAGTGTAAAACACAACAAACTCAAGTTGAACCTGTCCCTTCAAAACCAAACTGCTGAGGTAACGCTTTCAACATAAGCCAGAATATTCACATACATTGGGCAAAACAGATTTTCACCCAACTCCTAGGAAAGCACAATCAAAGCTCTTGCAGGGAGGAAAAAAACTGCAGTCCTCTTTAATTTGCTATTGCCACATGTGTCTTTTACGGATGGAAATTCAAAAGCAAAACAAATAAAAGCAAACCCAAACAATAAGCCAACATGCCTAGAAAGACTTTTAATTCCTCTATAAAGAATGCCAACATTTCCTTTAGCACACCTACTGCAGCATCGCTACCCAAACGGCGGGACAGGAGACGCACAGAATTGTAAAGCCTCGCATTCAACCCTTTCCTTACAGCTTTCTGCCAGCGTTACCAGAACGGCCAGACACAAACGCCAGCGCGACTGCTGACCGAGGAACGCTACCGACGCTTTCTCACCCGTCTGACTGCGCGACACAGGTGAGAGCACAGACCGGACGGCTCCGGGAAGTGTGCTACTGCCATGACTCACACGGGGAAAAGTTTAAGAAAAGGCTAGAACACACACACAGCTCAATTGCTAATATGTTGTTGGCCACGGACACTCTCCTAATAAACAGTCTCTGTTTCCACACTGCTCATTAATTATCTCAAATGCAGGAATCTCTGCTCTAAGACAGTACCCACATTCAGTTTCCACAGATACTTCAGAGACTTGGAAGAAACAGGCACCTCTCTATTTACACCCTTTCAAAACACAGTTGTTTGTTTTCCTGACCAGCACAGAAACCAAACACAACAGAGTCTTAAAGTATGCACCACCAATTTTTAAAGATCTATCTCTGCGTATTTAATCATCATAAATGACAGATTCTGCTAAGCATGTGTTGACCTTGAGATTTCTTGACAGGAAAAAAACTAATTAAATCAGCAAACAGCTGGGGGAAGCTCTCAACTCCTAAAACCCAAGCAGCCACACACAGAGGAAGGCTCCATACTCTACTAAGCATGCCAGCTATCCTGCCATTCTTGCACTCCAGCGTGTTAAGAAAACAGTCTCACATCTCCTAATCATCATGTCAACTTCTACAAAAAGCGTCAGCCAAATGTTTAATAGATTCTTGCTCCTTGTAAGAAACAGTGTATTTCAGGGATGTCCTCTTGAAGAACAAATTGCTCCAGTGCTCTAAACTCAGCAAACACAAGGAGGAGAGGATAACAAAGGTGGCAAACTAGAAATCAGTTGGATTTGTTTCCAACAGGCAGTATGCTCAGCCAGTACAATTACCCTTGGTCTATCTGTTCATTCTGGCAGACATGCTATCCATCTCCACACATACACAGGGCTTCTCTTCCCTGTCAAAGCAGAAGCACCCTGCAAAGAAAATCCCAAAGAAATAGCTGACACGGAAACTGGCCCAACATAGCAAGTAAACAGTTTGAAAAGATGTGGTAGGTTCTAGTTAAGATGTTCGCACAGTACAGCTACAATAAATCTTATAGTATTACTATTAGAAGCAATACTTCAGATGACAAACTGAAAAATGCGCAAGTCTAAGTTCAGAAATTACATAATAAATAAAAACTATTACAGTTGAGTAATTTTCTGTTTCTAATACATTTTCCCACTACAGTAATCGTTGCAATGGAGTGCAGTATCAAGCACACAATGACAAATGACTGATTTTCTCACGATAATTTTAGACCAGAATATTTGATGATATGGGGGGGAGGGAAAGGGGAACCTTTCTTCAACAGCTGTACCGTTTACAAATGTTCTTATTTTACATTAACTTTTAGCTACCTAATCCCTTGATATTCTTTGCAACTAATCCAAATCATTGTACTTACTCAACAACCTTTGGACATGATTAATTTAATCCTGATGTCCTAAAGAAACCAAGCTTAGGTGATTATGCTTTCTATTAGTCCATTCCTCTCCCACATGAGCCTCAGGACCCCTGGACCTTTTCTGCACACTCCTGAGATTCATCACGTCTGAAACGCACACACATTCCATCAAAGCTGGTATCTGGAAACAGGTCCAAATCCACGCGCTTCTCAGGAAAGGCTACAGCACCAGGCTCAGCAGTTTATCCGTCTGCTCTGCCTACTTTCTGATCTATCAGCATACATGCACCAGCCAACCAGAACACAGCCAAAAAATATCCCCATTTTGTTCAGATATAATAAAGGGCTACTTGGAAGATAGGGACATGACACAATCTGCAGGAATTCCAACAAGCCTTTAAAGACAGAGGGCTTCCTCTATGAAGAGCAATGTCAAACATCTGGCGCGCGGCCTCCCGTGTTCAGTTCCAGTACTTGTTGAGCAAGGCAAGGAGAGGTTTCAGAACCCCGCGGCAGGATTCTGAGCCAGCACATTGAGCTGAACGTTGCCTGGACTAGCTAATTAGAAATTCTGATGGCAATGCTTTATCTTAAAGTCTGCCTTTGCTTAGAAGCCTAACACCAGGAGATGTTGATTTCTCCACACCAGAAATTAATGACCTCAGGAGTTTCAACAGCTTTACACAAAAACAGAGAAAGAGATATTGTTCAGTTAGTAGTGCTGGTGTTGCCTTACGGTGTAATTCAGTGAGTAGACTTCTCACCTACACTAAGAGATACAAATTCAATTACTTTTAACTACTTGTAGCCCATGATTTCATCTTGCGAAGAAGCACCCAAATACACACTGTCACAGACAGGGCAGTTTCAGTCCCTCCCCTCGAAGCTATTCCTCACACATAAAAGAACTGAATATTCATCAGACAACCACAGCCTACTCTTCCGCTGCCTGAGCAGACGACTTGGATTTTGCTTCATTTTGAAAGCTCACTTGTGCATTTTTACTAATCAGTCGATGGATCAAATCTAGGTGTAGTTCTTTGAGCAAGGAACAAAAAATTCACTGCTGCCTCCTCCCTAGCTACATAACCCGACCCCTAGGTAGCATGGTGAGCGCTGGGCTCGGCCTGAGAGAACTTTCTTCACTTCAAAGTGGAACAGGCTCAACACGAGAGAGGGAGCGATCCCCTTCAAAGCCACACACTGCCTGGAGTCAGGGCATTTACCAAAATGCAAGCTCTGCAACCTTCATCCCTTTTCAAAGGGCGGGCTGAAGGCTTGACCTCAGTTCCCCCACAGCCCAGGCAAACTTCTACGAAAAAAAGAGAAGCAGCGGTACCACCAGCAGCCATGTTTCTGCGCAGAAGTGGCAGCCTTGCAGCTCCCCCGCGGGTCTTGTCTGCCCAGTCCTACTTGAGCAGGACCCCGGGGGACACGGGCAGAGGGAAGTCCAACACGCAGAGCTCGGGCGAGAACACGACATGGAATAATTC